GTGCAGTTTGCCCATCGCCCGCCTCCCTCCACGAGCCTACCCCACCCCAGCCCGGTCCAGCGCTCGATTTAGCTACCCCCTTTCAACCACTACAGAGTAACCTGCTCGAGCATATGCACGCACACACACAATACTGAAGCAACTGTGATCCCCCTGAACACAGATCAGTTTACATCCAGCTGAAATAAACACTCAAACTACCTCTGCGTACGTGAATAGTGGTGAACTTCCCTCGGGTGACAGCATTCACCATTCACCTACCGTCCGGACGGGTTATTCTTTCTGGCAACTGGTACCCCCTGTGCTTTTCAACTAAAAACTACCAAAAGACAAAAAATTGTAAGATTGCTTACCCCGCTGTGTTTTATTTTTGATTTGTTAGGTACTACACATAAACATCAAAAAATTGAGTTTATCCATTGCTCCACTAAGCAAGCTTTTGTTTCTTGAACAATTCGGAACCACCCAGCTTTCGTTCTGTGGAACACCCTTTTGTTTTGCATGACTCTGGCTAAGCTTAGCTAAACATGTGGCGTTGGCTATCAAGATTTTCCGGGGACCGAGGTCCACCGGAGGATCAGCAACGCTCCCGCACTTTGCCCCGCCATGCCTCTGAGTCCCCTTCACCCAACTCTTGGCGTGATGGTCCCGATCGCCAAAGGAAGGCTAACACCATGGACAATGCTCACGAGGAGGACGGAGCCGTTAACAGCACAACAACCCCGCAGAAACGCAGTCGTTTTGCATTTCTTAGACCCCGCCGCGGAAGAACTCTATCCTTTTCGCGAAATGCCAGCAAGCCGAGGGAGGGGAAGAAGAGCTTGGATGGGTTCGCTTCCCCTATCACCTCGACTCACTCCTCCCCTGCCCGTCAGGTCTCCGGACAGAAATCCCAGATTAGTGAGCGGCCGGTTAAGCATGACCTTCCTCCAGTTGATTCATCTCAGCCCTCATCCAGTGCGAGTACGCTCTCGGACAAGGATATAACACCGACCACGGAAGAGCCTAGAGCTTTTAAAACGCTCGAGAAGAAGAGTGCCGACGGCCCCAGACTCCCTTCTGAGGAGGAAGAATCAAAGCGAAACCCACCCACCAGTAAAAAACGTGCCAAAAGGCCCCACAGCCCAGCTTCTCCTCCCCCGCAGTCTCCGTCCTCTTCGTCGGGCAGACCAAGCAGGAGGGATGCCAAGAGCAGGACCCTCACCAAGCCTTCTTTTCTCCATTTTACCAAACAATCTCCCGTCTGTGATCCCTTAACGGTAAGTACTGCGTGTATCATGCTTGAATATTATTTATCTTGTTCTGCCTGTCTCTACACGCAGACACAACAAACGGGCTATGAAACTATCATACTGAAGGATTTACCTTTCACAGTAACGGACACAGTTGTCAGCCTTTCTAGGATTAATTTAAAATGCTACTTTACATTGACATGTTTGTTTGTTCTGATTATCTAACCCCATAAGAAGATTGGCTTCAGTCCGATAAAAGCTCAATATGGTGCGCATTTGGTCTGCATGATTTGATAGTATAAGATCATTACGCATCTTGAGGAACGTTCGGCACAGTTGAACAGTTTTGGAGCATTCTGTTACAACTCAAGTTCTAAAGTAAAGAGTTTCACGCCACTGTATGCACCACTGCGAGGAATGAATCGTGGCTCAGCCGAGGCGGCAGATCAAAGGCCACCCTTCCTGCTTTATGCTAAAAGAGTGTTCTGTATGCTGGTCTAAGAAATACAAAAAAACTTAAAAATTGGCATCCGATCGTGCTTTCATCCGTGGCCATTTACTCGCGACGGAAACTGTCAGTCTTGAGATGCACTCATTTTCAAGTGACATGCGTATGCATTTTTAGCACAGTGCTAATTCAAGTGCCTAGCCGCATTTCTCGTTGTTTTTCTTCTACTGCGTGAAACTTGAAAGGAGGCATTCAGTCGCTGGAGGAGCTAGTAAATTTATCTTTAACGAGAGTGCGTACCTCCTCGTTGTAATCGACGCGCTTGTCCTCCGCTAAACAGAATGTAGGTGAAGTGATAACTTTAGGAATTCTGCATTTTTCTGGCAGCAGGAGCCCGAATCTATACTCATTTATGGCAGCTTAAGATGCGGCTCATCACTTGTTCTGCAGTGTTCTTCGTGCAGACTTTTACAGTACCCCAGATGGGAATCTAGCCCTCAAAAGCCGTCACAGACTATGCGAAGAAATGTCAACAAATCTGCCGACAACTTATTTCTGATCTTCGGTCTGATTAGTATATATGCACATTAGTCAGGCCTATGGATGCGAACGGAAGACGGACTGGTGTAAAATTCTGGTCTAAGCGCAAAATATGAGTTTTATTTTCAGACCTAACAATCATTACGAATTATTTTAAGTTGAAAATTAGCTACCTTAAGCTCGAAAATTCTCATACATATTTTTTAATAAGTTCTCGTATAATCATGACGTTATGTATGTACATATATAGGCAGAAAGATGTTACTAACAGAGACAAATGGAGATTGAAGTGGCCATTTCTGGCTTATTAGCCGTCATCAGCCGGCCATACCCAACCCTACGTGTTGTGGCACCAGAGGTTCGAACCCGCTCTCATCCACGAACTCGTTGACTTTCGGTCGGGAGTGAGGCCCAAAGCACAACAGGACGAGTGAGCCTCGCAACCAATCGGTGAGCGCCTATCTACCACTCGCGAGTCTGAGGCTCGGGTAAACGCCATTTGGGTCTGGGTATCACTGGCTGACGACGGCTAATAAACCAGAAATTGTCATTTCAGTCTTTCTTGCCTTTATCGGTAACTCTATCTGCCTTTAATACCAGCTGTTACGGCTGCCAGAACCTATGGCGAGGCCCAAGGCAGATCGAGACAGATGACTTCCTTTAACGGTCGAATGAAC